GGTGACCATTTAAAGGTGTTGCTACATAGCACGATAAATAATCTGCTGTTAAAGACTGGACGCAAACAAAATTTACAAAACGAATGCGTAGCGATTAAGGACTGTGTTCATATCATCGCAGGTATTTTCCTGGCTTTCGGGTTTTACTCGACCGCTTCATAAACTTTGCAAATATGTCATTAGGTGTCCTTGGACCAAAGAAACAGAGTTGGCTTTGCAGAAGTTGAAAGATACATTAACATGTGCTCCATATGCTCACTTGCATACCATTTAGCGAGTTATTGTTTTATCCTTGATACCGATGGAAGTGATCTATGTGTTAGCGCAATCTTATCACAGATACAAGATGGACATAAATTAGCGCATATATGAGTAAATCTTTAATTAAGCATAAACAATTATATTGTACACAACTAAAAACATTTTGGCTGTTAAAACAGCTTTCAGAACTTTTCACTCTTATCTTAATGGACAGACAGTGCTATAAGAACAGATAATTCAGTGGTAAGATGTAACGTTCAAACGGTCAAATGGCACGCTTTCTTAAAGAACTTGTAACATATAATTTAACAGTTGTTAACGGTGCAGGTCTTATTGAAGGTTCCATGAAAACCGCCGTATGAACACATCTGCGGATGTTTCTAAATTCAAAATTTTACTATTTCATGTTTAAATGTTGAATTCTGCTTAAGCCGGTGCTAGGGGGCGTGGACGGTAAAATATGATAAACAAGATCAACAAGGAAAGGCGGCGTTCAGTGAACGCAACCCCCACATGACCCAGCAACAAGAACCAACGTAACTTGCACTTTCCAGTACCGTCCATGAACAGGCTCAATCAAACCGAGCCTGCAACATTTTCAATTTTTGCCGTGTTGGGCTTTCTTTAGGGATTCTGTATTTATCTATTAAACATTCAAATGTAGACGCACTGTCTTGAAAGCCCTGTAAAATAGAGAAAATAAGAATCCCTAAAGAAAGCCTAACACGCCAAAATTGAAAATGTGGCAGGCTCGGTTTGATTGAGCCTGTTCATGGACGGTACTGGAAAGTGCAAACTACCGTCAATGCCCCCTTGCACCGGCTTAAGCAGAATTCAAAATTTAACACGAAAAATGGTGAAATTTTGAATTAAGTAACATCTGCAGAGGTGTATCTTCCCCATTGCCTCTAGTTTTTTTTTCTTTGATTAACCCCCCCCCCCTTCCCCCGGTCTTCTGTCCCCTTCCCCTTTGTGGGCCTATTATTATTTTCTTTGAATTTTACTGCAAAACTACCTCCGGCATTAAACATTTTTGGTAAAAAGTTTGTATCTTCTTTTTATTTATCAAAAAGAATTATATTTAATAATTTTTCTTTTTCATTGATGTCTGAAAAAAGTGTAATAAAGTATTTGAATAAACTAGGTTCAAACAAATCCACTGGTCTGGATGGTATTCCTTCACGTTTTGTAAGAGATAGTGCATCTATTATTGCCTTACCTTTAACACACATTATAAATTTGTCATTGATACAAGGCACAGTACCAGATGATTTGAAGGCAGCAAGAGTTGTTCCTCTTTTCAAAAAGAATGATAAAATAAATAAATACAGAATCCCTAAAGAAAGCCCAACACGGCAAAATTGAAAATGTTGCAGGCTCGGTTTGATTGAGCCTGTTCATAGACGGTACTGGAAAGTGCAAGTTACCGTCCACGCCCCCTAGCACCGGCTTAAGCAGAATTCAACATTTTAAACATGAAATAGTAAATTTTTTTAAAATTTAGAAACATCCGCAGATGTGTTCATACGGCGGTTATCATGGAACCTTCAATGTGACACTTCCGTGCCATTCCATGAAAAGCGGCGTATGGTCCCCAAGTAATAAAAAGCGTGTCCCCAAGTAATAAAACTGAAGTTGGCAACTACAGGCCTGTTTCCATATTAAGCATTGTTTCTAAAATTTTTGAAAGGGTTGTTTATGATCAGATTTCTTCCTATCTTAAAGAAATGGACATATTATATAAATTTCAATCAGGATTTAGAGGTGGTTTTTCCACGGACACTTGTCTTACACATCTATCTGATTTCATTAGGCTACACATGGATAAAGGTAATCTTGTAGGCATGATTTTAATGGATCTTCAAAAAGCATTTGATACAGTGGACCATTCAATCCTTTTAATTAAATTAGAAGCCATTGGTCTTAGTACTGATGTATTACAATGGTTTAGGTCATATCTGTCTGATAGGCAACAACTTGTTGATGTATCTGGTACTTTTTCCTCACATGCAAAGGTTACTTGTGGTGTTCCCCAAGGGTCTATCTTGGGACCATTATTGTTTTTAATTTATGTAAATGATATGCAGGCTGTTGTTAAAAATAAACTTCTTCTTTATGCTGATGATTCTGCTATTCTTGTTACAGGTAAAAATAGGTCATCTATTGAAAAAGAACTGACAGATGAACTAAATTCTGTCAGTCAATGGTTAATTGACAATAAACTTTCCCTTCACTTAGGCAAAGCAGAGACAATCTTATTTGGCTCTAAACATAGGTTAAAAACAGGTTCATCTCTTCATGTCAGTTGTAAAGGGACTGATATACAGTCAACTTCTAATGTCAAATATCTAGGTGCAACTCTTGATCAGTCTCTCTCCGGTGAAGCAATGGCAAGTTCTATTATTAAAAAGGCCAATGCAAGGTTAAAGTTTCTGTATAGAAAACGTGATTATCTCACTTTTCACACTAAAAAACTTCTGGTTATGGCCCTCATCCAATGTCATTTTGATTATGCATGTTGTTTCTGGTTTCCTGGGGTTACTAAATACTGGAAGGATAAACTCCAAGTCACACAAAATAAATTGATAAGATTTGTTCTAAATCTTGGTTATATGTCACATATTGATAATGAACACTTTAAAATTTTAAATTGGCTACCTGTCCAGAAAAGAGTTGATCAAATCATTCTATGTAATGTTTTTAAAATAAAACATGCACTTGCCCCTGAATATATCGGAGAAAACTTTATTCCATTAGATTCTGTTCATACTTACAGGACCAGGTCAAGTGAAAGTGGTTGTTATATGCTATATATGTTGTGTCTATCCTCTAGTCTTAATATTTATTATTTTTTTAATTTATTTTAATTTGAAAATTTTATGTATACTTTTGTCTTTCTTAAATTTAAAACTGTGATAAGTCATTTTCATGCCTCTCTTTGTCAAAACCATCAGTATCTATGGACCACAATGGAAATAAGAGATTAAGTTCTCTTTTTTGTGTTATCCTTGGTATGATGTTTTTGATATGGTGCATTTCTTTACATTGATATTTGTTTTTTATTGTTTTATCATGTATTGGATATGTTTTTACCATGTTATTTACTGAATACTGAAATAAATCTATCTATAACTGAAATAAATCTATCTATCTTATTCCTAATCAGTTACAAATTATTTATCATTTAATGATTAACGTGTCGTTGCCCTGTCCTTTTTATGTTTGGGGTCCGCCTGGGCTCCTTGCCATTGGTTCTTGTTGCTGGGTCATATGGGGGTTGCGTTCATTGAACGCCGCCTTTCCTTGTTGATCTTGTTTTTCATATTTCATACGGCGGTTATCATGGAACGTTCAATGTGACACAGTAGTGCCATTCTATGAAAAGAGGCGTATGGTCCCCAATTAAAATAATGCGTGTGCCCTAACCGAGAAAAGTTTGAGTGGAACAAAAATCAAATGGAATTTTGAAAAGGGAGCTGAGGTTATGAAATATGATAAATAAGATCGACAAGGAAAGGCGGCATTCAATGAACGCAGCCCCCACCGACCCAGCAACAAGCGCCAGCGGCAAGGAGCCCAGGAGGACCCCAAAGAAAAACAGGACAGGGCACAAGGCAGAGTACGGGCAGGCAAACCACTACATCAGAATACATAATAAGTAACTTATAAGGAAATATGATAAACAAGATCAACAAGGAAAGGCGGCGTTCAATGAACGCCTATAAGGAAGCCTGCATATCGCAGATAAGACGTCAAAGGACAATTTAAAAAGCAAGCAACATATCCTTAGGGTGATTAGACAGTATTCAAGTAGGAAAACTGGAACCACCCAAGTTGAAAAAGGCTAGATGGAACTAAAATACCAGATAACATGTAAACACAACAGTTATGTCGTGCTGAATGATCTTCAAGGATCGAAAATATAACATCTTTGATTATATGTACGGGGAGACTTTTTACGGCCGCCTCACGGCACAAATAACACTGATGTGACCATAAAATAGAGTAAAACAGAATCCCTAAAAAATAGCCGAACACGGCAAAATTGAAAATTTTGCAAGCTTGGTTTGATTGAGCCTGTTCATGGACGGTACTGGATAGTGCAAGTTAACGTCCACGTCCCCTAGCACTGGCTTAAGCAGAATTCAACATTTAACACGAAAAATGGTGGAATTTTGAATTTAGTAACATCCACAGATGTGTTCATACGGCGGTTTTCATGGAACCTTCAAAGTGTATTCTTTCTTAAGATAAGATATCAAACATCATTTGTATTTAGTTGTTGTTGATGTTTTTTGTTGTTGGTTTTTTTTGTCGTTAATAAGAACATATTACAGTGCACGTTATACATTCTGCTTTGTAGGTTTCAGCCACAATTTCCTCGTCATTTATTTAATTTTATTTAGATTTCATCATGAAATCTGGAGAAAGTTTGATCCCTCGGAAGCAATTATATGACTATTGCAGACTCGGTATGATGTGACTTTTTGAAGTAAATTTTCTAATCAACTTCTATTATGTTCTATTAAAACGGATTTTCATAGACAAGTATCATTATTAGAAATTCGAAGAAGATCGAAGGAAATGAAAAACTATTTAATGAGAAATAAATAATGTTATAGTTTTTTCTTCTCGTTAAAGTATTGCACTTTGTGGGAAAAGAAACGGGTTTTGTATTTTACAGACATATGCATGTACAATGTATGTAAAACAATCAGAATAAAAAAGCAACAACAGAAATTATTGTGGAATTATTTGCATCATATTTTTATATAGAAACGAGGGGCGTTCAATATATTCGTGTCCGTTAATTACAATCATGAACTTCGTGCTTAATAAAAGTTAACTACTTCGCTGAACACTAAGACTATTTTAGGAAAGTAACAATGATATTTTTTTCAATTTTTAATGACCATCTTGCACTGGATAGAAACAGATATCTGTATTTGTGTTATGTCATCTGGTGCTGATATGTACTCGTTCTATTACATCTATATTTGACTAATTCCATTGTGTGCATAAATACGGACTTCCAATTAAAAATTACATTTGAATTCGTTTTTTGTTATGTTCTAAGCTTGTATACTGTCAATATGTTAAACATGAAAATAATCTAAAATGTACAAACAACAAATGTATGAATAATTTTTTTAATACAAAAATAACAATTTAGTATCTTCTAAGACAATAACAAATAATTATGAATTATTTTCTGTATTGTTGAATGAACTATTAACAAAGTTATTATTTGTCTTTTTTTATTTGTGCACAAGATATCTTTATGATAAAACTAAGTCTTGAAATAAGTATCACGTGTCTCTGTAATAAAATCATTTTTTTAAATCTTGCTAGTTTTAAACACTTGTTTTTACACATCATACGAATCATTACAGTTTTCAATCATAAATCTTCGCTGAACTTATTGTCGAGTTTTATCACCAAATTTCTTAGAGGAATGTTGAGGAATAGTGAGATTCATTACATAAGCGAGATTGCCGCTATTTTTTTCAGCAGTCCATTTGACATACCAAAAGCCATTATAAACTGTTCCATGTTGGCAGTTGAGCTTGGCATATTTGTACCATTGATGTAGGTCTTCTGTCACAACAGTCTACGTAAAGTTCATAACTTTGATATAGTCTTGCACACACATAACAGTTTGTATGTTCAGCCTCGTTTTCTTGGCAATATCCGACACGTAAACTTTTAGTTTGCTTGTGATAACTTTCTCTTATTTGAAAAGAGGGAAACGTCAATACACTGGATATCACGAACAGAAGAAGTCCGAATGTTGAAAATGTAAAAACCTTCTGAAATTAAAAGACAAACAGCTTTAATAACGGGTAAATAGAAAATAAAAATTTAATGTTATTTGTCTCAAAATGAAAAACATAAAACAACAATTTCCTCTAAACAAAATAAATTGATAGAGATAAACCGTAAAAGGGCGTGGACAAGTGTAAAGGTAAAACTTTCAAATATAAAAAAATGTACATTACTAATTTTTGTTTTTTTCTCCCTTTTTTCTAAGATGTATGCTCTAGTACTTTCTTCTTTTTCATTTTCAAACAAGAGTGAGTTGATAAGAAAATGTGTCTGAACCTCATGTGAAATACTCATTAATTCTTTCATTTTCTCTAACGTATTAAGCTTATTATTCTGAGTAATTCTGTATGAAAGTTGATCAGGTGGCATATGTTTTACTGTTATGAGAAAAACATGATTATCTATATTTACAAAGAAATAATTTATATTATGTGTATTTAGTTAAACACATTATAACAAACGTGACAATAGCTTCTGTTTTTAAAGGACTTTTATTACACTTGCTATTCATTTTCTTTTAAAAGTTTTGTATTTTCCGATTGTAATAAAAGGTAAAATTAATCATTTTGCGTTTGAATTGCCTTTAGTCGTGATAAACAGAAAGTGTCAAGTTCCAATAAAATCTGTGTTTATTTTCTATTTTTGTTGTCAATTTAGTAATACCATAGTTAAATACTGCCTGTTAATGTAAAACAAAAAATGGTATGTGAAAAAAAACTTAAATTGCAATTTTGCAAGATCGCAACTTGGTTAGAAATTGCTGAGAATTTAAGGAATAAATTGCTACTAAATTTTTATTTGTTCATTATAAAATGTTAAGTTTGTTGCCGTTTTGTTCATTTTAGTTACTTTGTGCTATAGTTTACTGATGTTAATTAATAATTTGGGTTTCTTTTTTCGTCAAATAGAAAAACAATTTTGTTTTTCTTTTGCAAAGCAATTAGTAAACATTCTTAAAACAGAGCATATTTGGCTTTTGTTTACTTCTTAAATGTTTCGGACGTGTGACAAGCAATAATCTCATAAACGTGAAATATATTATAGCTTTAAATGAGTACCGTTTTCAAACAAAATTTCAGGCAAATTTGCTTGTTATTTAGAATTAACGTTTAAAATGGTTTTATTACTTTCTTTAACGCAACTCATATCTATGTTTTAAAATCTATACATTTAGTGTTTGAAATTATTTTTGTCCAATTGGATTGAAGTATTTCAAATGAATCCTAACACATTTACTTTGGTAAATCGGCAAGCTGTTAATCAGTCTAGTAAATCGACTTTTTATAAAAATAAAAAAGTGGAAATGATAAATGACTATGCTTCATAGTTATTATGTATAGGTTAAAATTTATTAGTACGTATTTACAAAAATAAATTGATCGCGCGGCTACACTTTAACCTATACATAATAACTATAAAGCATAATCATTTATCATTTCCACTTTACTCTGGAAAACATCAACGATATTTGGTTAAATATCAGTAATCATTTGTGTAATTCATAGTCTACAATTGGTTACAAAGTTGTAACTTGTTATTTGAGAGTTATTGCTATCACTAAAGATGTTTCAGAAATAGTTCTCAATCACGAGTAGCTGTGACTCATTTATGACAGTGTGTTTAAGAGTTATCATGTGGAGGTGTTCAACTAATAAATCGCATTAAAGTAATCTCGGCATTTGTTTGAACTTATTAATATTACATAAGGCAATAACAGCAAATGTCATGATATTGTTTTTAATCTGCTTTAAATCAATTTAAAATCAACATCAAACCCGGCAAATAAGATAATTAAAGAACGTTGTTTAACGGATTAGCAATTTATCTTTAAGGGATCGAGCGCAACGTTTGCGACTGCTTTAAACAAATTTAACGGCTACGGTATAATGATGTAGCATTTAACATTATTGCGAAATCTATAGCAAATTTAAATAATGTGAGGTACACTGACCATTGTTAGTTATTTGAAATATTATAAGGAACGGCCGTAATCTTAAAGCAAACATATTTGATTAAATAAAGAACGCCGGAATGTCTGTTATCCGTTGTTATGCAAACTTTCACCAGATATAAAGTACTATCTTATAACCTCAATATCATTATCATTAAAGGAGAGATCATGGTTACTGGTATATTGATCATGAGGTCAAACAGTACATCATTTGAAGGTTACTTGTGGCAATAGTGCAGTTTGGCTACATCGTACGACTGCAATGTTTCATCACATTTTTACGAATCTATTTTTTTCACTATTGTTATTATTTCATTTAAAATATTTTATTTTCATTAATCTCTTTTTTAAAGTTTAGATATCTTTCAATGCTGAACATATTTCTAGAACATTTTGTATTAATTTTATAACGAAGCCACCACCTTTGGACGTTACAATAGATAAGAAAAACAAAACCATATGAGCCGCGTCACGACAAAACCAACATAATGCGTTTGCGACCAGCATGGATCCAGACCAGCCTGCGCATCCGCGCGCTCTGATCAGGATCCATGCTGTTCGCTATCAGTTTCTCTACTTGTTATAGGGTTGGTAAGCGAACATCATGGATCCTGATCAGACTGCGCAGATGCGCAGACTGGTCTGGATCCATGCTGTTCGCAAACCAATTATGTTGGCTTTGTCGTGACGCGGCTCATATAGTGATCACAGTCGTTAACCTTATCCATCATCACTTTTAAAACATAAACATGTGCAAAACAGTTTAACAGTAAAAATCTTAATAAAAATTTATAAAATATAAAACAATTTGTTCAACTTTAAAATGATATAGATTAAACCATTTTCGCAAAAGCTTTGTTCAAAATTGTACAGTGAAATACTTGCGGTATTATATATATATTTTCCAATATAATATAAAAAACAATCATGACATATTAGCGACTTGTTTAAAACGAAATAAATCCGATGTCTTATTCAAGACCACATTTTTAAACGTATGTGCAATAAATATAAATGAATATTTATTCTGTCTACAAGATACGTTTACCAGGGCGATAGACAGTAATTTTACAATTCGTTTTTCTTTTATATGCATCTTCTATATTAATTTATATCATATTATTATTTTTTCATACCTGCAGTTTACCAGATACCATTCACAAAATTATACAAAATAAGGGCATGCAAAGTTATGTTATAACCTCAAAGTATTTATCTGTATTTATAGATTTTTTACATTTTTTATATTTTAAGAATATAAATAAAAGTATATAAATGAATTCAAAACCTCATATTTAGAATATTTGTTTCGTTTATGTACTTTGAAGTTATCTGCTATACTTTAAATATTTAAAGATGTATAAAACAATATCATGATTCATTTAATATGAATATACTACTCATTCTTAACAAAAGTAACTCACCATTTTAACTCTGTATCCGTTTGATACCTTTAATAATCTTAATTCGTTTCCCGGTGATTAATTTTGAAATGACAGTAACACTCGTTTATCATCTCTTTTATAGTGAAGCAAACATCACTGTTCAAACTTCTGTCTGACATATAGTTCACGCTTCAATCCTATCACCCACATGATCCCCACGTGATAGTGACGTCATTGATAGTAATCCAAGACTTCCTTCGACAAGCAGCACGTTGCTTTGTAACATTTGTAAGAAAAACATCAGTACAAGAAAATTCCTGAAATGTGACAAAATGCTAGGCTATAGAGAGCTATAGCGGAGTGCTGATTGTTCTGCAAATACAAGATCGTGTGTAACAGCGTGAAGTTTCAAGTGAGTGTATAACTGATATTTATATAGCCTTTGTTGTGACACTCAGGGTCAATAAATCAGGATTGTTGAGACAATAACAGTTCCAGAAATTTACCAGCAGCTTCTCAACTTACAAAATGGTAAAATGATTTGATATGGGTGTTTTGCGTGTGCAATTCTAAATCTAAATATCATAAGACATCGGCTTGAATTACAATTTAAGCCCTGATACTTCATGCTTTTAATACAAATCTTGGTCGTAACCTCATGACAAGCTTGTGTATGTTGAGGTAATCATTCGGGACCCACATGCTCACAAACTAAATTGCGCATAATTTTCAGTAAAGTTTATCTTTATCTGTGTCTATATTTCTATTCGATATTACATTGAAGAATTCCTATTTCATTACAAAGATTTTAAGCCCTATCCTACTAAGCGTGATCTCATTTTTATGTGTGACAATGGTACAAGGCTATATGCTGAGGTTAGGGGAATGAAATGGTGGTGTTCACACAATATAGGGACGTTCGGATAATTGCACACGTTTTAAACGTAATATAACGGGCACATAATTTGGTTTGTTTGTTTCATTTTACGCCTTTCTCCAACAGTATTTTAGTCATTTAAGCGGGTTGTTTCCTTAACATCGTTTCTGGAGAGATACACCAGTACTTGACTACCTTCCTCCGCGCTAAACTACCAAAGCATCTCCCAGTGATCGAACCCACGCCAGAGAGGTAACTGGATTAGAAGTCATCGACTCTAACCCCCTCGACCACGGAGGATGGAGAATGTACATAAAATGGAAGAATAAACACATAGTAAAGAATACAGATAACGTATAAATGTTTGCACACAACATTATAAAGAATACACATACAACGGTGCATGAAATGAATGTCGCAAATCTCAATGCAGTTAGATTTGAAGACAATTGCATTTTTAAAAAATTATATTTTTCCATTTATTTTTCTATTTAGACTGTAAATGATTAATTGGCAATAATATAATTAATATCTTTATAGTGTTTCAGCAAAATATCTGTGATACTTTACGCACATGAATAATATAAAAAGAAAAAATATATTCCCTTATAAAGTATACGATTGCTCATGTGTTATTCGCCTAAAAGAATTTATGAAACATATGCCTTTGCTTATGAAACTATGGTATGATGTTTACCAAAAAAAAAAATATTTTACTTAAATCTCAATATAACTTTATACGGGTAACATGTACAGCTAAAACGACCTTGCAGCTACCAGATAAAATACAGAATGACTATACATAATAAATTTTTGTCCTTGATTGAGGTCAGATACAACATCTCATATGACGTCATGTTTAATGATAAAATTATCTAAATTTAAAGCTGAAAATATTTATTTTTCATATTTTAAATCAGTATCCTATTATTATGTACATACTTTTTAATTGTATACAATAAGTATATTAATATTCTTATTAAAATGGCATTTGTTATATCTGTTTCTCATTATAAAATAATCAAAAAGTTCATTCCATGGTAACTTATATATCATGGAACTTGGCAGACAGAAAATAATTTTCTGCGGCCATTTATCATCAAACTAATTATTTCAACTCTGTTCTTGCCATTAGTGTATAATTACTATAAAAAGATAAAAATTTCAATTAAATTTCGTAGAGAGTAATGACGTTAACATGAGTACATTAGTATCTATCATTGCATATACTAACATTCAATTTCAAAACTTATTAACTCAGTAAATACGAGTCTGAATTTTCGAATTTGAATTAAATTTTAAAGTCTTAAATTAAGTCTTCTTAACAAGTGTTCACTTAATAGCCATTTTACTTCTTCTTATCGGTCACTAACAAATTGGTTGATATGCTTTAAAGCAGCACGCCTCCAGATTCATGCTAATTTTCATGAAAATTTTAAAATGTATTTGATGTGTATTTTTATGAAACCAAAGGGAAGCAATTAACACTTTATCAATGGCACTTACAAACCACGGAAATGCATTAATAGCCTTTACTGCGTTAGTAACGCAGTAGTAATAGAGTTGTAAATACTGAAAAATAAGTCATTAATCGCACATCATATGTAAAATATTACTTGAATCTTGAAATATTTTACTTTTATTACAGCTTAGTTCATTTTTCTCAAGTTTAATTTTATTGAAATAGTTTGACTCACCTGGAGGCCTGTAGCTTGAAATTGTTTCATACCAGACTCTTTTGTTTACATTATGAACTAATCAAGAAATTATTATCATTAGTTTGTTCATACGGCAAAGATAAAGAAAATAAGTGTGTCCTTCAATGACGGGGTCATAAATTAGAGATTTAATGATGTTACTACGTAGCTAAGTAATTTAACAACTGTATTTCACATCAAACTTAAGATACAGTTTCTGAATCGAGTAGAACCACCGATGTTCCGTAAGCTGGGTGGATAGTTTTCTCGCTTGAAAAGAACAAAAGTCCCTGGCGGAATTCGAACCAACATTCCTAAAAGGCAAGTGGTCTGTCGTCAACCACTTTAACCACCACATGGTCATGGTCGTGAGATAAAGTCATTATCACAAAGATTCTGAAAATGAACTTTGTCAGATGAAAATTCCAAAGCTTGACACATGAACCGATTAAAAGAAATAACATAATCAACAATTAGTACAAAATATTGAGTACAATTAGTTTTAAATGCCAAGAAAGAATCATTACTTATATTTTATTTTAAATGAGAAAAGGAAACAGTTTCATATGAAAAACATATACCAGTATTTTTCATCCGAAGAAACGTGAATACATTATTTTTATTACTAGTCATCATAAAAGACACGTGAACTTACAACTTACCTCAGAAATAGAATTCATTTTTTGACAAGTGATAGCTTCGCCAAAATATTATTTCTTTTTCTGATAAAGGTCAGAGAAAAGTCATGCATTAATTAATTTTATCACATAAACCGCGGCGCAGGAGTGTAATAAAGCCATTTAATAAAAACGATATTACACAAGTGAAATAACACTTTGACGTGGCGTCATTTGCGCTATATAGAAACATAGCGTTAAAACGCGCTAATGTTAGCGTTACACTATAAGCGCGTCTTTGAAAAATTACCCATTTTAACATTTTACTGTTCTTATATTATATATGTGATAAATAGAATATTATATTCGTGTAGATCAATACAAAATTTATTGAACTCGTTGAATAAAACAATATTAAGCTCGCCAGAGGCTCGCATAATATGAATTTATTCAACTCGTTCAATAAATTTAGTATTAAACTACACTCATTCAATATCCTCTATTTGTATCATTTTAATTTGATAACAATTTATTTCCCGTCCCTCGATTTTTTTTCTGTTAGCTGAGTACTACAATAATTTTGCCAAAATATTTATATTTAAATTTCTTCTAAGCATGTTTCATCTTGAATAACCTTCTTCTTCTGGTCAAATAGGGTCTTAAAGCGCACGCCTAATTCATGCTAAATATTTTTGTTTTGAAGTATTTTATAACCAAAGGAAGCACAACACTTTATATCTAAAACGCCAAGATCTAGTTCACTTAAGAAGGAACAACAGATCGTTTAATTTCGGCAAGATTAAAATATTGCGCCATGAAAGAGCTAAGTATTTACAACTGTTTTTCTAAGATAAGTTTTTGCAAGAACCACGATTTCCAAGTTGGATATTCTCGCGAAAAAAAAAAACCTGGAATTAACAACATATTTAGGCAGTTAAAACGGCTGATGTTAGCGTTACAGCTTAAGGAGTCGTTGAATTCCCCTTTAACATTTAGGTTCTTATATTATATTTGTAAATAGATTTTAATTCGTGTAATCTACAAAATTAGAACTCGTTGAATTTAGAAACTATTAAGCTCGCTAGTGGACTGCATTATTATGAATTTTATTCAACTCGTATATTTAGTAAAAACTAACTATCAATATCTCATTGACATTTTAATTGATACAGTTTTATGTCTCGATTTTGTTCGTTGCTAGAGACCAATAATCCAAAATATAAATTTAGAATTTCATAAGCTCTGTCATTTTTGATAATTGTTTCGCAAATAGGCAAAAGTATTCGCTAATGCACCGTATATTGTTTAAGATTGTATCAAAAAAAAATTTATTCTAACGCATGAAAAGCTAAGCACATTTGGGAAATTTAACTGTGGGTGGAGTTATGGAATATTTAGTTCCAGATATTATGGGTACTTTCACTTTGACACCTTGGGGCATCAGTCTTGTTTTAGTCGTTACAGATCATTTTTCAAAATGGGTTGAGATATTTGCTGTCTCTGATCAGACAGCCAAGACTTCAGCTAATGTTATTTTAAATGAGATTATTTCACGTTATTGGTCACAAAGTTCCTTGCATAGTGACCTTGAAGTAAATTTGAGAGTAAATTTTTTGCTGAACTTTGTATTTTAATGGAGGTCTGCAAGACTCGAACCTCGGTCAAGAATCCAAAATGTAAATGGCCAAGCTGAGAGATTTAATGAGGTACTAATTCGCATGATTAAGGGAACAAACATATTGGGACTTGAACTTAGTATGTCTTGCTGCTGCATATGGGGCTACGCCACACGGATCTAGTGGTATGACTACGAACATGTTAATGCTTAGGTCATCAGGTTCGAATCCCGGCAGAATTGTCAAGAAACATTCTTGACGATGAGTCGATGACTTCTAATCCAGTTACCTCTCTGGCGTTGGTTCGATCCCCGGATTATGCTTTGGTAGTTTAGCGCGGAGGAGTGTTGTCTTGTACTGGTGTAACTCTCCAGGAACGATGGTTAGGAAACTACCCGCCTAATGACTGAAATACAATTGGGAAAAGGCGTAAAATGAAACAAACAAAAACAACTTGACGATGATAAGTCTGCAACATCTTACAGTGAGTATGCAGAGAATTTGCGCCAAAAAATGTACGTTGCACATCAGCTAGTCCGACAGAATCTTGGTAAAGCATCACTTCGAAACAAATACAGCTACGATGTTAATCTTTCAGAAAATAATTACAAGATAGGAGACTGTTCATGGTACTTTCATAAATCTAGGTTCCCTAGGGTGTATCATAAATTGCAAAAATTATACAAGCTCTGTGTCATTTCAAGCGTGTTAACAGTCTTAAAAGGTCCGCCTGGGCTCCT